TAAAACTTGAGAATTGCAAAATATTAATAAAAAACTATAAAAATTATCATCATATATCAAATAATATAATTTAAAATTTATTTTCGAAATGAAGTTATATTTAAAATTTTAATGAATTATTTAAATATAAATTTATATCTAATTCATTAACTTTTTAAAAAATTCCAATTTTTTTAAAAATTATTAAAATTTCTTATAAAATTAATTGTAAAATTTCTAAAACTAACTTCAAATATTATAATAATTATAATATATCAATAATATTTTTTTATAAAAATTCGCCGTTATACAAAACAATTATCGAAAAATTTTTCTTATTTTAATCTCAACTTAAAATTTTACTAATTTCATTCTTCGATTTTAATAATAAGTATATATTTTATAAAATCAAATTATATTTTTAATATAATCATAATATTAGTCTTACTAAATATAATAAATCACTATTTTATTTGTATCATATAATATTCTATAATATTTAGTTTATAAGATAATTTATAAGATAAAATCGATATCAATAGATTTAAATTTGAAAATCGTAACTTTGCCGCAATTAATTATGCAATTGATGAAATGTGAGCATAAAAATCACTGATGCATTTTTAAATATCTTTTTAATTAAACTTTAAACATGATTATGTATATTCAGTTTTTTAACATTTCAAATTATAGAATTAACGAAATATCTGTGACACTTATATCATACAATTAATTTTTTCAATATTATTTCACAAACATATATTGTTATCAAGACAATAATATAATATGAATATATTTATTTCATCAATTATCAATGATATGCGCGCGCGCATTGATTGATCAAACCTATAAATAAAATCATTCAAAAAATATTATCATTTAACCCGACCTTGATTATTGATAAATTTTGACAGAAACATTTTAAGCTTTATAAACAGAAAAAAAGTCAAATGAAAAATGTTAAAAAAAAGAAAGAAAATACATCTTTATAAATAAAAGAAAAAAACAGATTTCCAAATAGTTTGTTCTATTTTCAAGATGAACGACAAATTCATATATACGCACCAATTTTTTTATGACTTATTTTTATACCAACAAATAATGCTAATTAATATAATAATATATTGTATTATAATAGATAACTATGTAATTTTATAACATTTAAACATGAATGTTGATATATTTGTATTGTTAAAATTCGTTTGTTTCTTACCTTAATAGTTAAGAAATAGTTTGTCAAAATTTAAAATTTTAAAATTTCATTTGAGATGAACAATGAACGTATGATAAAAACGTATAATTAAAAATATACGTAAATTACTCACGAAACAACCAACACGAAAGTTCGCAGAAGACTGACTTTGACGTTATTGCGGCATAGCGTCTATCATTCGCTCTCTGTCTCTTTTTTCTATACGCAAGCGTACAAAACGGCGCGATTTACGGATTGTTACTTAATACATGTTTTTTAAATGAATTGTAATTTTTTGCAATTTGTTAATTAATTCAGATATAATATAATACACACATTTAATTTTAAATGCAACTCGTTTATATGATATGAAATAATATGATATGAAGTATATATATGTATATACTAGATAAATATTAAATATTAAAGAAATATATACAAAATATATACAAATTAAGTTTCTTAAAAAAATGGATATAAAATAAAATAAAATTTTATAATCATTTATTAATGAATATTTTTTAATGTGTTTATTAATATATAAATAAATATTTAAAATTTTTAAATAAATTAATCAAATTATAAAAATATGTAAATTAAAATATTTATAAAAATTTAGATAAATAAATAATAGAATAGAATTTATAATAAGAATAAATGACATTTTTAAATATTTTAAATATTAAAAAATTCTTAGATTCAAATTATATAATAAAGAAAAATTTAAATTTAATTCTCAAGATTTCCGTCATTAGAGCAGCACTATCTAAATATACATATTTTATATAAGTTACCGACTTGACATGAGATTTAAAGAGTAAAAGATATAAAAATGTATATTTAGTCTGTAGTCAAATTTACATGACATCAGATAATATATAAAATAGATCTAGCATTTAATTTCTTTGATTTCTATATCTTGGAAGCATTAAGACTTCTTATTATTTTAATGTTACTCTCAATGTTATTGATTATTTTCAAATATATTTTAAAAACACACTCTGAAGTTGAAAATATAAAAATAATTTATCAATTAATATTTTGTTTATAATTTTTTATTAAAATTATATAATATTAAATCTTTGTATTTGATAAAAATTAGTGTTTAAACAATTAATTGTTATAGCATCTTTTATTTTTATTATATAAAATATTTTGTAATTAAAAATTATAAATAACAAAAGAATAAATTCAATAAATCTTTGATAGCGTTATTTTTTGATAGAATGTTTCAAAATTTTTTTATTATTAGGTTAGTCTTTCGTTTTTTGTTTAATTATCATGTATTCTCGCTGTCATCAAACAATGCTTTGCATTAAAATATTCACGTCATATCATATTTTATGAAATCACTATTAATAAAATCGAGAATTTAATATTTTTTGTTAAAAATTTATTTAATATTTTTTTATTAAAAACTGAGATAATAGTTTTGAAAGAGACATATTGAATATCATATGGAATTTTAATTAACATCTTCGTTTGAGTACACGCTGAGAACATAAACAAGGTAAGTAAATAGTAAGAGATGAATAGAAATAGAATAAAAATCAGTGCCGCCATCTTTAGAATGTTTCAAATGAACAAATATATAAAAGAAAAGCAAATAATAGAAGGATACATAGAAAAAAATTAATCATTAATACCATCTTTTGAATGCCAAAAATATTTCTTCAAAACTATATAATAGAATCTTAAAAATACGATAATAAGAATCTTAAACATAACGAATAAATATGACATGTATGATATGCGTTGATATTTCAAAGCATGAGACATAAAGATAGAATAACATGACATTTTATCTTTATGTCTCATGCTCTGAAATATCAACGCCCTCTACATTTATTATAATACTAACATTTATTATAATAGAAACATAAACGAGAAACGGAATAGATGACATCTTATGGGATTTCGTATTATGTTCAACCTAAAAAAATATTTCGTACGCCATCTAGCATATAATTTAACTACATATACAAAATTAAATCATTCAAAAATTAAATCATACAAAGTAAAAATTTAAACTTATATATTTCATAATTTTAAAAATTGAAATGAAAATATTATTCATCATTTTAATATGAAAAATATAATTATGCAATTAACCTCATATTATTTCTTATAAATATAATTATATTTCTGTTTATATTATAATATTTCTATTATATATATTATAATATGATTATGATTTATATGATTATATATATTATAATATATGTATGATTTCTTAAGTCTCTCACTTGCCTAAAATAAAATCTGAAATATTATTTATTTTTGGCCTCAATTTGTTGCTTTTATATAATACATAAATCATTTCAGAAAATCGCATATATTATTTACAATAAAATATTAAAGTAAAATAAATAAATATTAAAAGTTAAGTTTCATGTTGTCTAACATCATTCAATGATGAAATTTTAAAATACCTTAATTTAAATCTTAATAATAAGATTAAAATTTTAAATTTTAAATCAATATTGTATATATATCAAAAATATATATTAAAAATACAATCATCTTATTCAAAGTGAAATAATATAAAACTTATAATAATTCAATTAAAAATATTGAATATTTCTCAATATTTTAAAAATAAGACTTCAAAAAGAAAAATTAAGAATAAAACGACAAATGAGAGTCAAAGAGAAAATAAAAAAATGTAAAAAAAAGAAAAAAAATGAAGAAAATATTAAAAAAATCAATATTACCAATATTATTTAAGTCATTATCAATCTTAGATGACTTATATCTGGACGTAATCATTAAATTTTTGAATTATATAATACTAAACATTTTATTTTAGTTTTTTAGGTAAAAATTTTTTTTCAATAAAAATTAAAACTATAATTATATCTTTAAAAATTTAATCTATAATATATTAAAATAAATAAAATTATATAAAAATAAATATATTAAAATAAAAAAATATATGTAAATCTATATGTAATA